GTGAGTCGCTTGATCAGTTTCTTCAGGCTTTAAAGTTATTAGCTAAAGATTGCCAGTTCAAAGCAGTGACTGCTGTAGAAGCCTGTGATAACTATGTGAGAGATGCTTTCATTAATGGGCTAGGTTCTGCCACAATAAGGCAGCGTTTACTTGAAAATAAAACTTTAGACTTAGTCAGCCTTTGACCAGGCTCATACTCTAGAAATGGCACAGAAACTTTCTGCCTCTTATGCTCAGCCAGGGGCTACAAACACTGCCATGGCACTCTCATTAGACCTGGAGGACTCAGGAGGACATGAAAGTGTAGAAGAAAAAGTTGACACAGCTTCTGCAACTACAACTGGTGGTTTAAAGTGCTTCTTTTGTGGTCACACTTGAAATCCTCGCAGTCTATGTCCAGCTAGAGAGGCTCTGTGTATGAATTGCAAGAAAAACGGTTATTATGCTAAGGTCTGCCGATCTCTGAAACAGACTAACAGTGCTTCAAACACCCTACATTCCGCTGCTATGCTCGCTACTTTAGCTGGGACTTCACCCTCATACCTCAATAAATCAGTGCTTAGCTCTAAGGTCAAGGGTATTCCAGTCAGTGCACTGATTGACACTGGTAGCTCTGAGAACTTTATTCATAAGAATATTGCCGAGCAGAGTGGGTTACTCGTCTATCCTGACAATGGGGCAGTTTCTATGGCTATTGTATCGTTCTCTTCAAAACTCCTGGGTCAGTGTTCTGTAGACTTAAAATTGCAAGGAAAAACTTACCATGGTGTGAATCTCAAACTGTTACCCGATTTATGTGCTGATGTGATTTTAGGCCATAACTTTTTACAAAATCATTCTGTGTTCGAGATGGCTTTGGGAGGAGATAGACCTCCCCTTAGAATATGTGGATTAGCTGCCGTCAAAGTTCCGGCTCCATCTCTCTTCAGTAATTTAGCACCAGACTGCAAGCCGATTGCTGTAAAATCCAGACGCTATTCTGAGGCTGACAAGTTGTTTACTGAATCTGAGACCGCTCGGATGCTACGTGAAGAGATAATTAAACCCAGTCGTTCTCCATGGAGAGCCCAGGTATTAGTAACTAAAGGAGAACATCACAAGAAAAGAATGATTGTAGATTATTCACAAACAATCAATCGACTCACGGGGCTGGATGCCTACCCCTTACCACATATAGATGACATTGTGAATAATGTTGCTAGATTTAAAGTATACAGCACGCTAGACTTGAGAAGTGCTTACCATCAAGTGGGTTTAACAGAGGAAGAAAAAACCCTATACCGCCTTTGAAGCTTGTGGGAAGCTTTTTGAATTTAATCGTATCCCTTTTGTGGTCACTAATGGAGTGGCCAGTTTTCAAAGAGTAATTGATGGCATCCTTGAGAAAGAAGGAGTGGAGGGTACCTTCGCTTATGTAGATGATGTCTGTGTGCGTGGAGATTCTGAGGAAGACCATGATAAAAATCGGAAACATTTTATGGACGTTGCGAGAAGGTATAACCTGACCCTGAATCTTAGTAAATGCAGCACCCTAACCTAAAAAAACCAAGACCACAGACGAAACAAAGATCCTGCAGACCCCAACCCCCGAACAGGAACGAGGGAAGAAGGAAACGCGAACAACCAAAACGCGTCCATGACCCCAGAGGCCAAGATTCGCAGAGAACAGCGAAAAAACACAACCAAAGAACAAAGGAAGCACCCCCCGCCCCGACCAACCAAGCAGCAACCGAAAGACCAAAACGAGAAGAAAATAGACCACCCAGGCAAACGACCAAGATGGCACCAGAACTCAAGAGCAGGCCGGAGGTGAAACAACACCCAAGACAGCAAGTGGAATGGAGCAGAAGGAACCGCAACACCGAATGCAAGCTGGAGTGGCTCCGCCAGCATCACCGAATACGAGGTAACAGTACACGGTCCCAGACAAGACCCTTCGTAGTGATAGGAAAACCACACACCGCTCCCGAGACAAAACACGCAGGTGGGAGACCAACGACAACCCCACCAGTGCCGACACAAATGACGAGAAACTAGAGATAAAAACCCAAGACACGAAAACTCGAGGGGAAGAACGAACCAGCCTTGTACAGAGCAGTACCGATCCACAAAAAAGAGGCGGAGTCGCTGGAAAACCCACCTGACTGGAACCAAGGAAAGCAGCAGGTCTTGCCAAGGCAGGCAAAAATGAAAAGGAACAGCCGCCAGGGAAACAAGGAACCCAACCCCAGCGAGCCGAAAAGAACCAACCCGGGCGAACAGAAACACCCCGACCGGGAGGATCCCCCCCCCCCCCCCGGACCCCTGAAGGTCCAAGGCCAAACACCAAGGAGCAAGGGCCTAGGCAGAGGCCAACGAGGAAAACGAGCACCACGAACGAAAACCCAAACGCGCAAATCAAAAAACAGCGACCCCACAATCCAAAGTAGCAACATAACCAGCTGCAGCAGGGAAGAATGATGCACGCGTTCCTGAGTCATCCATGAAGAAAACTACGCAGGATGTGAACCGCAGGAAAGCAAACACACCCATTCCAGAAAAGGAACAAAGAAAAACCAGAGCCAGGACCGGAACCCAGCTACCTGTTCCAAGAAAAGGAACCAGTAACGCAGGAGCAGTGGACCGTAAGTCCACAACCCCCCTACAGACAGTGCAACACCGAAGCCTGCAGTAAGACACAGACAAAAAATGTAGGAACTCAGTACCAAAACGGAACACTGGGGTGGTCCAAAAGCAGGGAACTGAACATGGACAGAGGCCCACTCGAGTACCCAACATCCAGATAGTCAATAAGCACCGACCCAGATACACAGTCAAGTGTAGCATAGGAGGAGGAAAAACAGAAAAAGGCAAGGAAAACCCCGAATACGGAACAAGGAGCGGATCAAGGAGCGGCCAGGAAGCAATGCACATGACCAACCACAAAATGTGTAGTGGAGGGGTACCCGAGGGACATCATGGACAGCAGGGTGCAGCCAGGCACTGAAGATAAGCAAGGAATGAGTGTCCAGATAGGGAAAAGACCCAGGTGTCGACAAATGGAACCAAAAGCACTGAAATGCGGGGCAGAGCCCCACAGGACAACAAAGAACAAGATACACAGACAAAGGAAAGTCACTGAAGACACACGCAAAGTGACTAAACACAACACACCACACCTAACACCCCTGTTAGGAGCCATTGATGCAACCCCGCCAAGCGGAGAAGTGACAGAGTAAACAAGGATAGAGCAGTGACCAAGGGTGGCACGCTTTTTACACGAAACAAATGCGTATAAATTGGATAAGTTTACATTTAGGAAAGACTTGGGTAAATACTGGTTCGATAACAGGTTTGTTGATTTGTGGAATCAATTACCACGTAATGTGGCAAAGGTGGGTTCCCTCGATCATTTCAAGGGTGGATTGGACATGTATATGAGTGGGATTGGGTTTATATAAATAGGAGCTGCCTCGTATGGGCCAATAGGCCTTCTGCAGTCACCTTTGTTCTTATGTCCTTATGTTCTTATGCACAAGGGGACAAAGGAGGAAGCTGAGTACCCAAAGGAGCTACAGACATGAAAAAGAACCTGATCAATGTCAGAGGAGATAGGAAACGGAGAGCACTAGGAAGCGACGTGGTGGAGGTAGACTCAACCTATAGGAGCAAACGTAGAGAAGACAGAGCCCAGACGGCTCTGGAAATTGCACAACTGTCGACCGACAGGAGGCAGGGCCAAAGAGCCAGAGCACGCATGCAGCCCGAGTACCATGGAATCTCACTCCTGGCTCACATCTCACCGATAGAGACAGTCCACACCACAAGGCACAGAACTGAAACAAAAACCAGAGCCAGAGACACTCGACCGGCCAGTAATTCCATCAGTCGAGAACTGCCAGTTGGATCGCCGGCGCGGAAGATCTGGGGCTTCCTTTTCCCCCCTCCTGGGGAGGGAGGTTGTGCAGACGGTGGCGCGGCGACGTGATGATGTCATGCTAGTTTGATAATTTTGTTTTGGAAGTTCTGTTCACTCGTTCGGCTTTCGATAGCAATATTTTCATCAGAATAGGGGTTTGTTTTGGGGCGCCTACCTTTCTGGGTGCCTATCCCGGTTGATGGCAGACATAGAATGCTCCCAACCACAAGGAGGTTTCTATAGGCCATTGCTCCTCGTGTCTCTCTGAGGGGGGTCAGGTTCTGGCTCATAGTCCCCGGTAGGCAAGAACTCCTAGCACTTTGACTGACGCCAGAGAGTTATACATATCCATTCAGCCTGGATAGCTCTGGGGAGCTGACGGGGCTCCTCCCAGAAAAGTAGTTAGTAACAGTTGATTGACAGTTGAGAGGCAGGCCGAAAGAGCAGAGCTCAACCCCCGCAAGCACAACTAGATGAATACAATTAGGTGAATACAGACCCACAAAACTACAATCATATTTACAGACCTCCAATCATACTTACAGACCCACAATCATACTTGCAGATCCACAACCAGACTCACAGACCCACAATAATACTAACAGACCCACAATCATAACCACAAAACTACAATCAGATTCGCAGGCCCACAATCATACTTGCAGACCCACAACCAGATTCAAAGACCCACAATCATACTCACTAACCCATAATAATACTCACAGACCAATAATCATAATCAGACCCACAAAACTACAATCAGACTCACAGACCCACAATCATACTCACAGACCCATAATAATACTCACAGACCAACAATCATAATCAAACCCACAAAACTTCAATCGTACTCATAGACCCATAATCATACTCACTAACCCACAATAATATTCACAGACCCACAATCAGACTCATAGACCCACAATCATAATCACATACCCACAAAACTACAGTCAGACTCACAGACCCACAATCACTCACAAACACACAAACCATCACACTCACATGCTAATAGTCAGACTCCCAGACCCATATCTAAACCTTAGTTCACATTTGTTAATGTAGAATTTAATCTCTTAAAAAAAATTGTTGAAACACTAACTGCAGTCACACAGGAACTGGACTTCATAGTCCCAGCAAAGGTCAGTTCCGATGTAGTTACTGGGGACCTCACACACCAGGCCCTCCTGCACTGAGCATCTTGCCCATGGCTGCTCCGTGTGGGGCCGGTGGGTGCCCACGCTACGGCACGAGATGTCCGCTATTTCATTCCTCTCGCACCATCCTGCAGAAGGCGACGTCTGAACACAAACAAATTGAATTAGCTTTTTAAGTCTGGTTTCTCTCAACAGGTGTGATAATTATAATATGGTTTTCAAGAAATATAAATTAATTAAATTCACAACAGGAATTTGAATAATAAGTGCACTTGATTAGTAGTGATAATGTTTAATTAAGTTTTCATGCAATCTTTCTTTATGAATAAAACAAAATGTCTGTGACTAAGGTTGAAAGCCAGCCTCTAGGCGCTAGCCTCACCCAACTTTGAAAGTTAATGGTATGGGGTACGAGATTGTCATATGCAGGTCGGAGCCGGCTGTACAAAGATCGTGTCAAAATCAACAGTGACCCCCCACATCTCCCACTGGAATCGGTGGAAGGTGGTTGGTGAGCCCCTAGATTTCTTTACTCAAAATGGATGAACATGAATTCAGTATTACATTTTCTGAGAGAGAGGGAGGGGGGGAAGGGGAAGTGGCAGAGAGAGAGAGAGAGAGAGGGGGGGAGGGAGAGGAAAGAGTGAAATTGAAGGGAGAGAAAGGTAAAGGGCATGGGAGAGGGGGGAGAAAAGAAAAAGAGGTGGAGACTGGAAGAAAGTGGTGAAAGGAGGGATGTTGCGGAAGAAAGGTAGAGAGGGGAAGATGTTGAAGGAGAGGGCAAGAGAGGAGGGCAGGGAAAGGGGAGACTGGAAGAGGGAAGTTGGAGAGGGATCCGGGCAGCCCCTCTTGTATCTACACATGAATCATGTGGAGTATGATAAGTGTCACAGGCCAGTCGGGGGTCGGCTCCAGTGTCACATTTTGGGAAATATCAGCACTTAACACCCCCCTCCTGTGATTTTTCATTAAGCCAATTCTGAAACATTGGTTGTGTTATCCATTGACTTATTTAGGAATTTCAGTACTTCTTTACATAATTTCTTGAGAGAGGGAGAGGGGAAAGAGGCAAGAGGGAAGGGAGGGGACAGAGGCAAGGGGGAGGGAAGAGAGGCAAGGGGGAGGAGGAGAGGCAAGGGGGAGGGGAGAGGGAGAGGCAAAGGGGAGGGGAGAAAGAGACAAGAGGGAGGGGAGAGAGAGAGGCAAGGGGGAGGGGAGAGAGGCAAAGGGGAGGGAATAGAGAGGCAAAGGGGAGGGGGGAGAGAGGCATGGGGAAGGGGAGAGTGAGGCAAGGAAGAGGGGAGAGGGGAGGGAAGAGATGCAAGGGAGAGGAGGAGGAGACAAGGGGGAGGAGGAGGAGGCAAGGGGGAGTGGGGAAAGAGACAAGGAGGGGGGGAGAGAGGCAAGGGGGAGGGGGAGAGGAAAGGGGGAGGGGGAGAGGAAAGGGAGAGGAAAGGGGGAGGGGGAGAGGCAAGGGAGAGGGGAAGGGGAGAGAGAGGCAAGGGAGAGGAGAGAGAGAGGAAAGGGGGAAGGGGAAGTAGAGGCAAGAGGGAGTGGCAAGGAGGGGGGGAGGGGAGGTGCAAGGGGGAGGGGGGGAGGAGAGATGAAGGAAAGATGGCTATTAGAACAGTGAAGAAGGGGAGGAAATGTGGGAGGGGAAATATTGGGGAAGAAGAGGTGAGGAGTGGATGGAGAAGGAAGGAGGGGGGGGGAAATGGAGAGGAGAGAGGTGAAAGAAGGAGAGAAGGAACATAGGGGGAGAGGGGAAAAAGATGGGGGTATGGAAACAAGAGATACAAGAGAGGGAGGAGACTATGAGAGGCAAAGTTTTCATCAAGTACTCAAGTGGCCACTTATGAAGCCTGTTCATCTTTACTTAATCACAGTGACTTAGTCTGCATTTGCTAAACAGTTTATGAGCTGCAAAGCGCTCCGAGGCCTTTTACAACAACAACATATGCTTGCGAATTTTTGAAACTTTTAAACTGTTTAATACATAATACACACGGTGGCATAAAGCAAACAAATACTTGATGAATCATGGTCTTCCACCCCTGATGATTGTATACTCAACACACTCCTTCATGTCTGGGACCATACCATCACTCCTGACTGAACTCTTCCACAACTTCATCATTAACAGTTTATGACACACAATTTTCTTCTCTCTCCAGTACAAGAATTATGAGGGCATGCTGGTATAACTACATCACATTATTTAGGTTGCTGAAATTATTCAATGAAAAGGCAAACGCTAATACACATGGTTCCAGCACTGTTGCAGGAGCTGCCAGAGCGAGGTCGAAGTCGACAACGAACTGCCTCCAACTCCTGATTTTCCTCGAGGTTGACTCCTGAAGTCTTTCCCAAAAGAGGGGGTATGGCTGCAAGGCAGTGGAGGTTTAGAATCAGGGTTTTCCTTCCCTTAGATGGGCTGCCTTCCCTGGCTAATGAGTCCCATCTACCCAGCTTTAACTCAACTCCCATCAACTTTACTAAAAACAAGTTTCCAATACCTTTTTGGCACTACTAGTAAAGATATTGGTTCCAATTCCCTTTATCGGGAACAGGAAGATTGCTAAGCTAATCGTAGCCCCCCTAGGACAACTGAATATATACCGACCATCCCCAAGGACGCAACCCACAACAATCTCACAGGACACTGGAACATTTTGTACACTATGTGCAGAAGAAAAAACACTCACAATAGTGATCCTTAAAGGAACCGATTCCATCTCAGCACTGCCGTTTAACGTGGCAGGGGAGTTCTTATTGATCCAACTTGACCATCCTTGACCACAAGACTGAGTGGCACGAGTTGAAGTTGGAGGAGCAGTTGAAGTTGAAGGTGGAGGCGAAATCGTGGTGTGCCGTATAGGACACGGCACTCCACGACAGCTCTTGGTCTTCTGGGAACAGTAGCTGTAATGTGAAGGGAATGCTTGCTCTATAAAGTGATCTAGCAGTGAACAGTGAGCAATAATAATAATAATAATAATAATAATAATAATATTTTATTTAGGTAAAGTACATATTTAGATGCAGAGTTACAAACATTCTGACTGATTTAAAGATAGAGGTAGTACATACAATACCTAAAGCCACTAGTACGCATAGCGTTTCGGGCAAGGTGAGGTGGGGAAAAAACACTTAGACTAAAACTTAATAGTAATTGAGCTTAAGGTATAAATTGCATTGAAAGAAAAAAAAATAAAAGCTAAAAAAGGGGGGAACATGGTAGAAAATAGCAAATATACAAGTTGGTCAACAAACAGCATTGTTTAAAGAAGATAAGACATGGGTTGGCATTTAGGGGTAAGGTATGCTACATGGAGTTAATAAGGTAGTACTTAGGTTTTCATCTTAAACTAGTTGAGCAACCTGTCCTCTTAAAAATAATGTCGCTTTTGGCCATTTACCAGTATGGCCGAAAGTGGACGTAATTTGAAAATGAAAAAAAAAATGAAAATAAATTAGGGATTTTTTTTCAACAACAGTAAGTTATGGGTCCTCTGGTAGGTTAGGTGGGCAGGAAATTCTCATAAAGTTCCAAAATGTTATGAAAAACGTTAATTGAAACTTTCCTTTTCTAACCTTACCGAGTAGGCCGGACGACTCAAACAGAAAATGGGACAGAACGTCACTTTTGTGAGTCGATTTCATTTCAAATTATGTCCAAATTTGGCCATAGTGCCGCGCATACGAGCCAAAAGTGAAGTTATTTTTAAAAGGACGGGTTGGGTTGAGAGAGGTAAAGCCTTTGACATGATTGGGAAGGTCATTCTGGGTCCCTTGATTCGCAGGGCATTACTAGTTAGATTAGGTCGTCCTCTTGGAATATCATATAGGTATTTGTTTCTGGTGCGAAGCCCATGGGTTCTGTTACAACCTTCTAAGAAGCTTTTAAGGTCAGGATTTACATTACAATTCAGAGTTTAAATTATATAGAGTTTACTACCACCTTCCAGATACGTTCTGGCAACCTTAAATTGTTTCCTGGGATGTGAATTGGAGCATTCTATATCTGTCATCAACCAGAACAGGCACCCAGAAAGGTAAGCACCACAAAACAAACCCCCTATTCTGGTTAACAATGAAAATCGTCAAACGAGAGGACAGAACACCCCAAAAGAAAAATGAGCAAACAAGCATGACGTCACACGAGACATGACGCATGTCTGTGCAGCTTCCCCCTCCCCCCCCCACTCCATGGGAAGAGGAAGCCCCAAACTCTCGCGCTGGCGATCCCCGCCCAGGTTCTGAGGCTGGATATCAAAAACTGCGAAAAACCGCCAACCGGAGGGAGGGAACAGAAGCCAGACCTGAGACAGAGTAGTCATCCAAAAGGCGGGACAAGGAATCCAGGGGTTCAGGCGGGACAAGGAATCCAGGGGTTCAGGCGGGACAAGGAATCCAGGGGTTCAGGCGGGACAAGTTCAGAATGAACCTCAGATCCGCACAGTCCAGTTTTGGCACTGGAAACAGGCTGGGAAACCCACTTGAGGGACGGGGTCGTTTTGACTACGCCCAAGAGCACCCACTTCAAAATGACTTGACGAAGTGCAGGAGAAGCAGCCTGCCCTGTCAGCCCCGAACCCCCGGAAGGATGACTAGCTGCCCAACGCCCCCGCAGACCGGATGACGTGACCGAAAAAGCCCACAAATCGTCAGACTAAGAGTGGGCAAACAGAGCGATCCCCCCCCCCATCACCCCGTCAACTTGGCGAACAGCGAAAGGGCTGACGCCCCTTAAAAGAAACCAAACATCGAACAGGTCGATCACCGCACCGACCAGACAATGCTGGCACCAAAGGTAACGACGGGTCAGAAACTGGCACCAATGGCCCACCTAGACCAGCGGAACCCTGAACCCTGGTACGACCCCTCCGAGACGGCTGAGAACGACCACCCCGGGAGAATCAATAAATCCGACATAGGACAATAACTAGACGAAGCCGCTTGCAGAAACTGCGAGACTGCAGCCTCTGCAAACAGCAACGGACAAAACAGAGACGAAAACCTAAGAGCCAGGGCCCAAGCGAATTCCAAAGAGAGGGCAAGCGCAGCCTGACGGCACACATGGTGTAAAGCAAAAAACAGAGACACCACCTCCTTTAGGATGGACGCAAAGAGCTTCAACAGTGCAGCCGATGCCCTAGCTGCCGAAGTCAGTGCAACAGACGAATGCCTGTCACTCAACGCCTCTACATCCTCCTCAAGCCAAGCAGAAGACAGCTAGAGAAGGGAAAAGAAACATAAGAGTGAAGCCAAATGCCCACAGGCGCGAATATCCTTCACAACCAACGATGTCGAAAGAAGAGCAAGCTGCATGTGAAGCTGGAAAAGGCCAACATCCCGAGAAAGCACGAGGGCGAACAAGCATGCATTAAGGTGCTCAAACTCTCCCCCCAGGTAAACCTGCAGAACTGTAGATGTTTCACGCCAATCAAGCGTGCAGATCCGACAGAACCCATGCCACGCCCCCAATGAAAATAATGGGCAGTCTGTCAGCCAGGAAGACTCCGGAACCTTCACACCCACCTAAAAGCGGGAAGAACAACCGAATTAAAAATTGGACGGATCCAACACAGAAGCAGAAACCGGGTCTCGCAAGAGGTAAGCACCAAGATCCTCCCGACCCTCCTTTGCGGAGATACGGGAGATAGAATACCTCCGGAAAGACGAAGTCGAGGTACCCAAAGGAGCCCGGAACCGAACCCAGAGAGGAGCCGAATCCAAATCATGCTCATACAGGGAAGAGGGGTAAGAAAACCCCCTCCCCATGCAATAATAAGCCCCATGAGGAAGGCAAAAGCATTCAAGCGGGGTCAAAGGGAGCCCAAGGCTCCCAGGTCGACTCCTCCCCAGCCCCAAGATCCCCTACGTTGGGACCCGGGGCAGAGCTGGCCTTCAAACACTCTACCCCTGAAGAAAAGGCAAGAGTCCAGGGGGAAAGGCAGACAAGAAGGGGGCCTGCTGGTGGGACCCAGAAGCCTCCGCAGGAGGAACCGGCTCAAATGCCTTCATCTCCGACCCGAATGGGGCAGCTCCCAAAGCCGCCTGAGTCACATTACCAACTAAACCTGTGCCGAATCTGAAACCCTAAGACATTTAGGAACCGGACACAGGGGGGAAGGTGCAGGATGAACCACAGGGGAAGGATAAGGGAGTGCGGAAGGAGTCAAAGTCGAAGCGACTAACGCCCCCAGATCCGGGTCCCAAAAACCAAAACGGGGCAGCCTCGGGGCCCCAAGGTGGGATACCAACCTAGAGCATTGCAGTAACCTAAACCTAACATGCAATGCGTATGCTGCCTGTGCCCTAACAGCAACATCATCAGAATAAAACTGCAGCACAAGCAGAGAACACGACTCGCAAGACTCTGGATCAAAGGTGTCGTTGACCCAACAGGCAGCATGACGGAGGCAAAACAGGTGACTGTCACCCTGAGATAAGGGCACACAGCAATCTTCAAACCCGCACAAGGCAGGCTGGAACTCGGGAGACACATGCATGGGTCCACTGAGCCCCGACAGGGGTTTCCAGGGCCCGTAGGGTAACAACTACAGAAAGCCCAGGCAAGGTGTTGCTAACCGGTTAAAAAACCCAAACTGACAAGGGGTAGATGATAACACTGAAAACCCGTGGGATGTGTACAAGCACGGGGGCCTAGCAGAGGGCCACCAAAACAGTATCAGGGGAACTATAGGCCTACTAGGCAGAACCCCCACCAGGCAAACAAAAGCAAAACAAAAGAAAACTCCCACAAAAGTACACCGTCCCCAGAAGCAATAGGAACCGGTCGCAAATTAGGTGGCAGGCCTCACAAGGCGCTTAGGGAAGGAAGCCCCTAAGCACAAGCAGCCCCAGCACTGATGAGGTACTCCTGGCCACCACACACCACACAAAGACAGCAGAGAACGCCATACAAGGCAAACACCGCCAGAGAATTTGAGGCCAGAGAAGGGTCTGTCCAGGTTAACACAGAAATAATAATAATAATAATAATAATAACGAAAAAATAATTAAAACTAAATGGGTAGAACACCTGGAGAGAAATGATATAATATCAGACAGTATGGTTTTCGATCTGGAAGATCCTGTGTATCGAATTTACTTAGTTTCTATGATCGAGCAACAGAGATATTACAGGAAAGAGATGGTTGGGTTGACTGCATCTATCTGGACCTAAAAAAGGCTTTTGACAGAGTTCCACATAAGAGGTTGTTCTGGAAACTGGAAAATATTGGAGGGGTGACAGGTAAGCTTCTAACATGGATGAAAAAATTTTCTGACTGATAGAAAAATGAGGGCAGTGATCAGAGGCAATGTATCGGACTGGAGAGATGTCACAAGTGGAGTACCACAGGGTTCAGTTCTTGCACCAGTGATGTTTATTGTCTACATAAATGATCTACCAGTTGGTATACAGAATTATATGAACATGTTTGTTGATGATGCTAAGATAATAGGAAGGATAAGAAACGTAGATGATTGTCATGCCCTGCAAGATGACCTGGACAAAATAAGTATATGGAGCACCACTTGGCAAATGGAATTTAATGTTAATAAATGCCATGTTATGGAATGTGGAATTGGAGAACATAGACCCCACACAACCTATATATTATGTGAGAAATCTTTAAAGAATTCTGATAAAGAAAGAGATCTAGGGGTGGTTCTAGATAGACAACTATCACCTGAGGACCACATAAAGAATATTGTGCGAGGAGCCTATGCCACGCTTTCTAACTTCAGAATTGCTTTTAAATACATGGATGGCGATATACTAAAGAAATTGTTCACGACTTTTGTTAGGCCAAAACTAGAATATGCAGCGGATGTGTGGTGCCCATATCTTAAGAAGCACATCAACAAACTGGAAAAGGTGCAAAGACATGCTACTAAGTGGCTCCCAGAACTGATGGGCAAGAGCTACGAGGAGAGGTTAGAGGCATTAAATATGCCAAAACTAGAAGACAGAAGAAGAAGAGGTGATATGATCACTACATACAAAATAGTAACAGGAATTGATAAAATTGATAGGGAAGATTTCCTGAGACCTCGAACTTTAAGAACAAGAGGTCATAGATATAAACTAGCTAAACACAGATGCCGAAGAAATATAAGAAAATTCACTTTCGCAAACAGAGTGGTAGACGGTTGGAACAAGTTAGGTGAGAAGGTGGTGGAGGCCAAGACCGTCAGTAGTTTCAAAGCATTATATGACAAAGAGTGCTGGGAAGACGGGACACCACGAGCGTAGCTCTCATCCTGTAACTACACTTAGGTAATTACACTAGCTTATGAACTGAAGGCAGCTGGCACGGTGAGGTCCGGGGGGCCCCCTCCCCCTCTCAGGGAGGGGAGGGCTGCACGGACAAGATGCGCGGCAGTAAAATGTGATACAGGTAATTGCTTGTTTGCTTGTTTCCTTGGGATTGTAGGGAATTTCTACCTCTGTTTTTGTATTGTTTTAGTTTCTTACCATGTGGGGTTTGTTTTGTTATGCCTACCTTTCTGGGTGCCTAACCCCGGTCGATGGCAGATAAGGAAATCCCCAACCACAAAGGGGTTTTCCAGGGCCATTGCTCCCTGAAACTTCTCTGAAGGGGCCAGGTTCTGGCGCTGGTCCCTGGTAGGTCTGAACTCCTTAGCTAATGTCCCAGTCTAATATAACATACATTAGCTCGATAAGCTCCAGGGAGCCGTAGGAGCTCCCCACAGAAAACACTTAAGACTAAAACTTAATAGTAATTGAGCTTAAATTATAAATTGTGTTAAAAAAAGGAATTAAAAAGAGGGGGGGGAAACATGGCAGAAAATAGCAATTATATAAGTTGATGAACAAACAGCATTGTTTAAAATAGTAAGACATGGGTTGACATTTACCCTACATGGGTAAGGTAGGTTACATGGAGTTTATAAGGTAGTACTTAGTTTTCATCTTAAACTGGTTGAGAGAGGTACAGCCTTTGACATGATTGGGAAGGTCATTCCAAATTCTCGGTCCCTTGATTAGTAGAGCATTTCTAGTTTGATTAAGTCATACTCTTGGAATATTAAATAGGTATTTGTTTCTGGTGTGGTGCCCATGGGTTCTGTTACAACCTGCTAGGAAGCTTATAAGGTCAGGATTGACATTACAGTTCAGAGTTTTAAATATATCGAGTACACATGAGAGGATGTGCAGTGACTTAATATCTAACATATTCAAAGATTTGAGTAAGGGTACCGAGTGCTGTCTGGGGCCAGAGATATATACTGTTCTAATAGCAGCTTTGTGTGGAGTAATTAGAGGACGTAAATGATTTTGGGTAGTAGAACCCCAAGCACAAATACCATAGTTGAGATAAGGATAGATGAGGGAGTAATAAAGCGTCACCAGGGTAGGGCGGGGTACAAAATATCTGATCTTAGAAAGATTATACCCATCACATGTTGGTATACTGAACATGTGTCAATATCCAAACATATGTCAGTATACCGAGCATATGTTATTATAGCCATCATGTGTTGGTATACTGAACATGTGTCATTATACCCATCATATATCAGTATACCAAACATGTAATTATACCCAACACGTGTCGGTATAGCATGCTAAACTACCTCCTCTTTTCCTGTCTTACGAAGATGCATCACAAAGATAATGGGATTACCAAAGCACTTGCTGGAGGGGGGAAGGGGGTATAACTTACCATGTGTGGCAATCATCTTTAGAAATGACGTCGCCTTCCATGTATAATGTTCCGTTAATCTGCAAACACTTCTTCTGGCAGTCTGTCTTAGGAACACAGTGATCGTCAGTCGCACTCTGATGCACCTGGCCTGGTGGGCATTCATTTTTGGAACACCCTGAAATCATCCACACAAATATATCAGTAAGCATTAAGATTTAGTATATTATACATTTTATCTATAAAAGAGAACGTCCATAAGTGTGTTTCTCTGTCAATAGTAGGAGGCCAGATGCTTGGGACTAGCCTCTCCCAACTATCAGCCATGACACATGACAGGTATGGGAGTGTCGTTGGCCAGTTGGGGTGCCCAAATGCCACTGTTTCAAAAACATTGGCATCTATAGCGGCTCCCTTGAGATTGTCAAGGGCTGAAATGAAATCACTAATGTATTTTGTGAAGTTTTCAGGCTTACTCTTGCCATCAATGATATAACCTCTTCCACTCTACCACTAACCGTAGGGGTGCCACAGGGCAGCATTCTAGGACCTCTCCTATTTCTTATATACATCAATGATCTGTCTAATGTCTCTAACATACTTAAACCTATATTGTTTGCTGATGATACTCCCTCATCTACTCTGACCCCAACCCACTCATATTAAATAATATTGTAAACAATGAATTTATCCTTAAACTGCGCATGGCATATACATAGGCCATGAGTAACATGTCCCACAGTGTGCATGGCATATATATACGCCATAGGGTGCCAGGCGCAACTCAAATGGCCCACGACTACACAGGGTTCACATCAGCTTCCTCAGGGCTCTTGTAAACAGACGCCATGTTTAAAAAAAATTGTGACCAATAGACTCTCCGGTGTGAGAGCCACAGTACTGTGGGAGCAACCAAGGCTGGCACACGCAGAATGAGCTAACAGCACTGCTGTTCAGCTTGTGACCACAGCATCGCCTAAAAATGTCAAAATAAATATGTAACTGCTATTATTTAGCAATGACAATAATACAGATGACCCCTGATTGTGATAAAAATGACCAGGATTGTGATAATAGCAGGATTGTTGTGATAATTAGCACTGTGTGGGAATAGTAATGTTGTGGGAGGGAGGGAGAAAGCGTCGTTTACTGACTGTGTGGCCACCTGTTATTGTCTGCATTCACCATACCACATCAGTGGTTCTCTATGGTGAACACAAATGTAGATACTTATATATAATGTGTGTATTAGTGTAATAACAGCAAAAGGATTATGTTGGGAGGGGCCATTTGCGTGACGGAAGTGGTGTCGTCTGCATGACTTGTCTAGCTGTGTAGAGGGTGGCCACTATGCTCTTTGGGCACCCTATAAGCTTAGGTGTGCAGTTATGGTGCATACAACATGTAGATACTTATATATAATGTGTGTATATAGTGTAATAACACTGCAAACAGTATTGTTGGGGAGAAATTTTAGTGCGCCCGACCTTGAATGAGTGAGGGAGGCAGCCGCCTGCTGACTGTGTGTGTAATTACCTAAGTGTAATTACCTAAGTGTAGTTACAGGATAAGAGCTACGCTCGTGGTGTCCCGTCTTCCCAGCACTCTTTGTCATATAACGCTTTGAAACTACTGACGGTCTTGGCCTCCACCACCTTCTCACTTAACTTGTTCCAACCGTCTACCACTCTATTTGCGAAGGTGAATTTTCTTATATTTCTTCGGCATCTGTGTTTAGCTAGTTTAAATCTATGACCTCTTGTTCTTGAAGTGCCAGGTCTCAGGAAATCTTCCCTGTCGATTTTATCAATTCCTGTTACTGTGTGTAGTAGTGTCTCTCAGTGCCTGAGCTAACTATATCAGCTTAGTTGTACAGTTGTGGTGAACAAAACATGTAGATACCTATATATAATGTGTGTATATAGTGTAATAACACCCCAAACGGTATTGTTGGGGGAGAAAGTTTAGTGCGTGTGACCTTGAATGAGTGAGGGAGGCAGACGCCAGTTGACTGTGTGTGTACCAATGCATCTTAGTGCCTGAATTAACTATATCAGCTTAGTTGTACAGTTGTGGTGAACTAAACATGTAGATACTTTTATGTAATGTTTGTATATAGTGTAATAACTGCAAAACTATTTGTTTAATGTTTTATGAACGTAATCAATGAACCACTAATATGAACAACATACTTTTAAGTATAGCGATGATTCACACATTTTATTATATAAATCTATCACATAGCACACTATTGAATAATATTACTTCAAAAAATTAAGAAAAAATCAGAAACATTGAAATAATTCTATATATATACTCTTTATCTATATATACGTCCAATACTCTCTCTATGTTCTTTTGTCCTACCACCACCTTCCTGTTGTGTTTTGTTGTGCTTTATTAGATATTTAAAGGTTACAAGTTGTAGCGTCCCTGTGTTCTTTCACCAACTTTGAGGTATACTCCGGAGCTGGAGCCCCAAGTGCAGTGCGTTGTTGCCTTCAACCTCGTTCTGAGTGTTCCTGTCACGGTGCTGGAACCAACCGTATTGGCATTTGTCCTTCCTTTGGAGATTTTCGGCAACGTGAAGAGGGGGAGACCTGCTGCATGGGTTACCTTGAGGTTACCTTGAGGTGCTTCCGGGCTTAGCGTCCCTGCGGCCCGGTTGTCGACCAGGCCTCCTGGTTGCTGGACTGATCAACCAGGCTGTTGGACACGGCTGCTCGCAGCCTGACGTATGAGTCACAGCCTGGTTGATCAGGTATTCTTTGGAGGTGCTTATCCAGTTCTCTCTTGAACACTGTGAGGGGATTGTCAGTTATGCCCCTTATGTGTAGCGGAAGCATGTTGAACAGTCTCGGGCCTCTGATGTTGATAGAGTTCTCTCTGAGTACCTGTTGCACCTCCGCTTTTCAACGGGGGTATTCTGCACATCCTGCCATGTCTTCTGGTCTCATGTGATGTTATTTCTGTGTGCAGGATTGGGACCAACCCCTCTAATATTTTCCACGTGTAAATTATTATGTATCTCTTCCGCCTGCGCTCAAGGGGGTACAGATTTAGGCTCTTTAGTCGGTCCCAATAGTTTAGATGTTTTACTGAGTGGATTCTAGCAGTAAAGGATCTCTGCACACTCTCCAGGTCAGCAATTTCTCCAGCTTTGAAAGGGCCTGTCATTGTGCAGCAGTACTCCACTGTAGAGAGCACAAGCGTTTTGAAAAGTATCATCATCGGTATAGCATCTCTAGTGTGAAAAGTTCTTGTTATCCAACCTGTCATTTTTCTTGCAGTTGTGACGGCTACTTTATTGTGTTCTTTAAAGGTAAGGTCTTCCGACATGAGTACACCCAGATCCTTTACATTTCCTTTTCGATCTATGTTATGATTTGCCTGAGTTTTGTACGTGGTTTCCGTTTTTATATTTTCATTTTTTCCATAGCGCATGAGCTGGAACTTATCTTCGTTAAACACCATATTATTTTCTGTAGCCCATAGAAAGACCTGATCTACATCTGACTGGAGGTTTGCCGTGTCCTCTATGTTGCCTACTCTCATGAAGATCCTAGTGTCATCTGCAAAGGATGATACAGTGCTATAGGTTGTGTTCTTGTCTATGTCCGATATGAGGATGAGAAAAAGTACTGGAGCAAGCACAGTACCCTGGGGGACTGAGTTCTTCACGGTTGACGGGCTGGATTTTATTTTGTTGACTATTACACATTGGGTTCTGTTGGTCAGGAAATTGTAGATCCATCTGCCTATTTTTCCGGTAATTCCTTTTGAACGCATTCTATTAACGCCATGGTCACATTTATCAAAAGCTTTTGCGAAATCTGTGTAAATTACATCAGCGTTTTGTTTGTCTTCCATAGCATCTAATGCCATATCATAGTGGTCCAGCAACTGCGACAGGCAAGAGCGCCCTGTTCTGAAACCATGTTGTCCGGGGTTATGGAGATGCTGTGATTCCATGTATTTTGTGATCTTACTTCTTAGCACTCTCTCAAAAATTTTTATGATGTGCGATGTTAGTGCTATCGGTCTGTAATTTTTTGCCTCTGCCTTATTTCCTCCTTTATGAAGTGGTGCTATCTCTGCTGTTTTTAGTATATCAGGAATAACGCCAGTATCTAGGCTATGTCTCCACAGAATGTGGAGGGCCTGCGACAGTGGTTTTTTACAGTTCTTGATGAATATGGAGTTACAAGAATCCGGGCCTGGTGCAGAGTGCATAGGCATACTGTTTATGGCTTCTTCAAAATTCAGTGGGGATAGGGTGACGTCTGATATATGATTTGATGTTGGTATCATATCCATGAAAAATTCATTTGGGTTATCAATCTTTAGTGCGTTTAATGGCTCACTGAAAACGGAGTCGTACTGCTTCCTCAGTAGCTCGCTCATTTCTTTGTTGTCATCGGCGAAAGTTCCATCTCCCTTTCGCAGGGGCCCGATACTAGATGTGGTTTTTGATCTTGATTTTGCACAGGAGAAAAAATATTTCGGATTTCTCTCTATTTCACTGATGGCCTTTTGCTCTCTTTGCCTCTCCTGGGTTTTGTATGATTCTTGTAGCTTGCGTTCAATTATTTTTATTTCTCTACCTAACCTTCTTCGCCGTTCTTGAGATAGGGTGCGACTCAAGTTGTTCCGCGATTCGTTTTCTTCGCCTATATAGGGAACGACGTTCCCGTTCCAATCTGCATCTCTTCCTCTTTTTTTTTAGGGGTATGTGGTTTGAACATATTTCTAGTGCTACTGAGCTTATTTTTTCCAGGCACTGGTTCAGGTTTGCATTTTCTAGCTGTTCTTCCCAATTTATTTCTGTGAAGTCCTGGTTTATTTGCCCCCAGGTTATATGTTTATTATTGAAGTTGAATTTGCTGAAATCTCCTCCACCGGGAATCTGGACTGGTTTTGAAGGTCTACTCCCCATGGTTGTCATAACTTCAATTAAGTTGTGATCTGAGTAACAGGTATTTGTAATCATTATGTTCCTGATCAATTCATCATTGTTAGTGAAAATGAGATCCAGCATGTTCTCCTTCCTAGTTGGTTCTACTATTTGCTGGTTTAAGGCAAACCTGTCGCACATCCGTAGCAGGTCATTTGCATGTGCCTGTTCATTTAGGCTACTTCCTGGTATTCTTTCTTATATTACTGCATTAGCCAGGTGCTTCCATTTTAGGTGCCGTAGGTTGAAGTCCCCAAGCAGGATGATGTTCAGAGCTGGATTTGTGAGGTCTTCCAAAGAAGTGTTCTATATTCATTAGTTGGTCTTTAAACTGCTGAGTGTTTGCCTGCGGTGACTTATATACAAGGACAATAACTACATTTAGAATCTCTATTTTGATTATCAGCACTTCCACCATATCATTTGAGGTGTTTAGCAGCTCAGTACAGATGAGTGTGGGTGACAGCTTCTCCCCTGTACTGTACTAACCTACCCTGGCTTTGCACCCTCGAGAGACCACCCCAGACCGACAACCAGAGTGCAAACCATAGTTTCCTAAGACTAATGGATACCTACTACTACTATTACATACATACATACATACATACATACATACATACATATATATATATATATATATATATATATATATATATATATATATATATATATATATATATATATATATATATATATATATATATATATATATATACATACATATACATATATATATATATATCTCGCAATAAAATCACAATGGTGTGATATATCAATGAAAATAATTTTCAGACTATAACTTGCATCGTGGTGATTACCAGATACCTGCCGTAACCGACTCGGCCATGATGGTACAAAAGTCAACCAACCCGGAACTCTATTGAATTCTGCCCCAATATTTTTCTCAAAGTTACCTTTTCTATTTTTGTAATAAAATACCAAACTCGTTCAGGAAAACTGCAGCAACTACAAAGGACATTCTTTCTTTTCCACAACGGTAAGTGTTAAAACATCAGGTTGAATTTTTGTCTTATCACCCTTATTGAAATGTTTATGTATTTGGGAACATTATGGATGACTTCGAACCACTTCGGATGTTGTAAAATGTTTAGTAAATACTGATTTAAGTCGATTGAGATAAGAGATAGAGATGCAAGATGAGACAAGATGTTGGTGAATTAGGCATAGTGGGACTGGTGAGGTTAGCGTACCTTCAACACAGGTGTCGAGGGCACACATAGGCGGGTTGGGGCTGAGGAGCGTGTCACAGGTGGGGCGAGGACAGGTGGGAATACACGCCTCGTAGTGCTCGCATTCCTCGTCACACTGCATCGCTGTAAACATCTCTTCTTCAGAAATAGGGCGTAATATACATACAAAAATTATTATTTAATGATATTAGTTATTCAATAAATGGCCATTACTGAAATATAACATTATTCTGGATAAAGTGTAAAACAAACTACTAAATTATAAAAAGGATTATAAAAATAATAATATCTCTGCCAAATGCACATTTGGTAAATGAAAAGATGTGAGTTGAGGAAGGAGCATCAAGTGTGAGGAAGCAACTCACGGCAGAAGTGAGGTGTACGCCACCTGACGTAGACGCCATGCATGGCACACTCGTGAGCGTATGCCGCTACCGCCGTACACAGACAGTGGCAGTCCCCGCCAGTGTCACACCCGCACCCATCAAACAAGCATCTGACAACAACATATTCATTACATACTCATCATATATGGATTATATATTATAAACAAAATTACAGTGGCATCTCGATTAACAGAGTTTAATCCGTTCTGGCACCGAGCTCGTTATGTGGAAAACTCGTCTTAAGAAACAAATTTCCCCATTTAAAATACTGTAAAAAGAAATAAATTTAATCCGTTCCACTCCTAAAAACATCCATACTTGTATGACATTTTATAATGTAAATATAATACTGCACATGTAATTATAAATGTTTTGTTGTACTGTTTTCATGTTTACTTTACCTTATGAAGAGTCATTGCTGGCTTGAGGGAGACGATGGAGAGGTGGGAAGGAGGAGAGGGGTTATGGTGCTGAAGGAGAATCCACCTCTGCGTCAGACGGACTCTCTCTTCTTGGGAATTTCACCCCACTGGGACCGGGTTGTGGTTCACTATCACTGGCTCTTCTTTTCTCTACTTTTGCAAAGAACGTATCTATTGACAATTGCTTTTGTCTTTGTTTTAGGATGTTCCTAAAACAATTGTCATTAAACACGTTCACACACCGGGTTGTCAATGGTTTATCAGAGCAGCTTTTCCAAGAATGCGTTCTCCTTTTCAAACATTCCCAACACTTCCCTGATCTCACTGGAAGAGGCAGCATCCTCCCTTACCTCCTCATTCCCTTACTAATGGTGCAAATTGTTGATGAGGACCTGCCATACTCCCTTGTGAGATCAGTCACACAGACACCACACTCATGCTTTGCTATAATTTCCTTCTTCAAATCCACAGTAATTGTGTCTTTCTTCCTCTTGACAACACTATCTTTAGCAAGCAGCTTCTTTGGCGATATCATGCGTTATAAATTGTAGTCACAAAATCACAAAATAAACAAAGAAAAGCGCAAATAAATGCAGAGGGATGCTTGTCATGCATGATACAACAACAACACTGGCGTCAGAGGCGTCCGAGAATTTGCGAGAAGCCGCGAGACGCTAGGAGACACCATGTGGTTTTGCTCGTTAATAGAGGTGAAGCTCGTCAATAGAGACAAATTTGCTGCGAGTGGCTCGCTCGTTACTCAAAATGCTCGTAGACAGAGCCACTCGTTAATTGAGGCGCCACTGTATATATATATTTTTTCAAAATAAATAAGAAAAACATTGATATGGCAAACATGAACAAATCCACAAGGGCCGTGATGAGGGTTTGAACTTACATCCGGGATAATCCCAGATGAGCCTTAAGTCATAAGAATTGCAAACAGGAGTGTTACTGCCTCACTCGGTTTAAAACCCAGGTCTGTGTCTTGGAGAGGTTGCCGGATACGAATAAGGGCAGTAGCACTACTACCTTGGTGTCTACTACCGCCTGTTATATTAGGGTTTGCTTATTGTTTGCTGGTACCCCCCTGCTTTGCCCTCATGAGTTGACACATCCCAGGGTTTCAGCTTTAGAAGTATTGATTGGTAGCTTGGGCGCCGGTTTGCAGTACAATGCCTGGGATAACACTTAACTGACCCAGCCTAGGGGATCTGGGAAACCAAGTGAGGGGGGGGCACTCGGGTCCGATGGATGCGACCCCTGAATCCACTCTCCCTTTGTGACTGTTTGAGGATTGCTCTGTCCCCTTGTCTCAGGGCGACGCTCATTGTTTTTGCCTCCGTCATGCTACCTGTTGGGTCGGTGACACCTTTGACGCTGAGTCCTGCGAGCTTTGCTGCTTGTTTGTGACTCAGCTAACCCAATCTGACAATGACATTATTCGGGTGCGGGCAGCTCGTGCGTTGCAGGATAGGTTTAGGTTGTTGCAACGTGCTTGGTTGGTTGCTTCCCCAGATGCCCAAAAGCTGCCCTGCATTGCTTATAGGGACCCGGATATGGGGGGTTGTTGGTCGCGTCGGCCTTGGTTCAGTCCATGCCCCCCTCGTTCTTTCCCTGCTATGGTTCATTTAGTCCCTCCCCCACTCTCCATGCTTCTGGCTCCTAAGTGTCTGAGGGTTTCTGGGTCGGGACAGGATCAAGAGGTTTTCTGAGACTCAGGTGGTTTAAGGGGTTGCCTCTTTCTGGGGTGGCAACAGAGGCATTCGAGTCTGTTCGTCCAGCTATAGCTCCAGGGTCTGACTAGTGGGCCCATTCTCTTCCTGTTTTTTTGGCTGCCCAGGCCTTTTCTTGTGAGGCCGGGGCTTTGGAGGACGACTTGCCGCTGGGGCCTGACGCTGAGGTTTCCAGGGTTGGGGAGGAGCTGACCTGGGGGTCTTGGGCCCCCATTGGACCCCGCTTGGGTTTTCTGACCCTCCGAGCAGGGTTTACTGTCACAAGGAAAGAGGGGTGGGGTTTTCCTTTCTCCCCTCTGCGTACCATAGGACCAAGGTATTTGTTTCTGGTGTGATGCCAATGAGTTCTGTTACAATCTTCTAGGGAGCTTTTAAGTTCAGGATTGACATTGCAGTTCAGAGTTTTAAATATATAGAGTGCACATGAGAGGATGTGCAGTAACTTAGTATTTGAGTAAGGGTACTGAGTGCTGTCTGGGGCCAGAGTTAGATATTGTTCAAATAGCAGCTTTGTGTTGAATAATTAGAGGACGTAAATGATTTTGTGTAGTAGAACCCCAAGCACAAATACCATAATTGAGATAAGGATAGATAAGAAAGTAATAGAGCGCCTCCAGGGCAGGGCGAGGTACATAATATCTGATCTTAGAAAGAATGCCAACAGTTTTAGAAACTTTTTTAAATATATTTAGCATGTGTTCCTGGAAATTCAGTTTGTTATCTATGAGAACCCCAAGGAATTTGCCATCTACTTTGTTACTAATTTGGATATTGTTTATCCTTAGATTAATTTGATTTGAGGATTTATTGCCAAAATATAGAAAGTTTTGTCAATGTTGAGGGTGAGTTTGTTGGCAGTTAGCCAAAGAAGAACTTTATTTAGTTCAGTATTCACTGTGACATTTAGAGCAAGAGGGTCAGGACTGGAGAAAATGAAGATTGTGTCATCAGCAAATAGAATTGGTTTGAGGTGTTGAGAAGCATTTGGAAAGTCATTAAAGTAGATGAGAAAGAGGAGAGGGCCAAGTATGCTGCCCTGAAGAACACCAATGTTGATGGGTAGGGTTGGAGAAATTGAATTATTCAGAGAAACATACTGGAGCCTGTCAGTAAGGTAAGACTGAAGATATTGCAGGGAGTGACCTCTGACTCCATAATGATGTAATTTAAGAAGAAGGTTATGGTGGCTGACAGTGTCAAAAGCCTTACGTAGGCCAACAAATAACCCAACAGAAAACTCATTTTTATCAAGAGTTGCATATATCAACAAGTTAATCATACTAATAAGTGCATCGTTAGTGCTTTTTTGGGGTCTGAAGCCAAATAATGGCATTGCAGGTCTGGAATCAAGATGACGCAATTGTTGGTACTGGGGGACTTCAACTTTAAATGACTGGGAGGCTTACAAAGTAAGAACGGAAGACATATGGACAAGCAGATTTGTAAACCTCATTATGGAGAACATTTATGTATCAACACATCAAGCAGGCCACAAGAATGAGGGAAGGGAATGTTCTGTCAGTATTGGATCCAATATTCACCAGGAAAGGAGAAGAGATATTTGACATCCAGTACCTTCGTCTCTTAAGAAAGAGTGATCATATCCTGTTGGACATTAAATATGCTTTCCAATATAACCTGAGAATGGGGGACATTAAAACAGTTGATAAACTCGATTTCAAGAGAGGACACTACGGGAAACTTAAATTTTTTTAATGAGTTAAATTGGATAGACTTGTTGCTAGGCAAGGAAGTGAATGAGATGTATGCCAAATTTTTCAAGATATACAATGAAGGCACACAAACATTCATACTAAAACAAAGATGCAGGACCAGAAACAGGATTGGTTCATCAGAAATTGTGAGAGGGCCAGAGAGGAAAATACAAGAAAATGGGTTCAATATAGGATGAGGCCTAACCCACAAACTTACCAGCACTATAAGCAAGCAAGCAAGAAACAATTACACAACAGTGAAGAGAGAGGCAAAAAGAAACTTTCAAAAAGGTATAGCAGATTAATATAAAACTGACCCAGACCTTTTCTATAAATTCATTAAAAGAAAGCTGCATGTAAAGAATAAAATCCAGAGATTGAGAACGGGGGAACAGGACTACTGTGAATGAACAAGAAATGTGTTAAATGCTACATGAACAGTTCCAAAGTGTATTTGTACAAAATGAGGATTTCATGGAACCGGACCTAATACTAATTCCAGAGCAAGCCATACATAGAGGTATCTCAAGATGAAGTGGAAAAATTGCTCAAGGGGCTAGGAAGAAATAAAGCAGTAGGAGCTGATGGAGTTCCACCTTCGGTGCTGCAAGAATGTGCAAGCTGAGCATTCCACTCCAATTAATATTCCAGACATCCTTATGCACAGGAATCTTAGCAGATATATGGAAAAAGGGAAATATAGTAGCAATCTATAAAAATGGTCGTTGAGAGGAACCTCTAAATTATAGACCCGTATCATTAACAAGCGTGGTAGTCAAAACACTAGAAACAATAGTTAAAGTCAAATGGGTTGAACACCTAGAGAGTAATGACTTAATAACGGACAGACAGTATGGTTTTTGAAAAGGAAGATCCTGTAGAACAAATCTACTTAGTTTTTATAATTGAGCCACAGCAATAATACAGGAAGGAGATGGTTGGGTTGGGCAGCTTTTGCTGTCGTGTTTGGTGACGTCTTGGGCTCATTTCGGGCATGATGATTTGGGGGGTCTCACAGGTTTCTGGCCGCCCATTCATTTGTGAGTGTGTCTGCTCCTGTGCGCTCTTATGTTGCTTTGGGTTGCAGGTTGCTGCTGTTGTCCGACTTTGTGTTGCAGAGTTTGTTGCAGCCGCCTCCCAGGTCAGCCCATTCTTTTCCTTCTCTATGGGTATGAAGCTCCAGGAAGTCGTAAGGGCTCCCCACAGAAAACCAGCGTTGAATGTAATGAAACGCCATTTTCTGGGTGAGCCCCGGAGGCTCCCAGGCAACCCTCACTCCTACCGGTCGGCGTTTTTTTCGTGTTGGTTGAAGCTTAGCTTCCGAACTGATGCTAGGTAGCCGGCACAGTGAGGTCCGGGGCCCTCCCCTCCCCTTCCCTCCCCTTCTCGGGGCGGGCAGGGCTGCGCGGACAATCGGCGCGGCAGTAAAGTGTGATGTTTGCTTGTTTCCCTGTTTCCTTGGTATTGTAGGGAGTTTTTACCTCTCTGTTCGTTTTTTTGTTTTAGTTTCTTACCATGTGGGGTTTGTTTTATTATGCCTACCTTTCTGGGTGCCTAACCCCAGTCGATGGCAGATAAGGAAAAGCTCCAACCACAAGGGGGGTTTTCCAGGGCCATGGCTTCCTAAAACCTCTCTGAAGGAGCCAGGTTCTGGCACTGGTCCCTGGTAGGTCTGAACTCCATAGCTAATGTCCCAGTCTAATATAACGTACATTAGCCCGATAAGCTCCAGGGAGCTGTAGGGGCTCCCCACAGAAAAAACATTAGAAAGTTTTCTTTTGCAAACAGAGTGGTAGACGGTTCGAACAAGGTAAGCGAGAAGGTGGTGGAGGCCAAAACCGTCAGTAGTTTCAAAGTGTTATACTGCAAAGAGTATTGGGAAGACGGGACACCAGGAGCGTAGCTCTCCTGTAATTACACTTAGGTAATTACACACACACACAGTACGCTCCACCAATCAGTGCTGTGTTAACCAAACACCGAGAAGCACAGCACACTGAACTATGTCTGGATTACAGTATTAACATCGAAGTACATTAAAATGAAAATTAAGATTAAGGAAGAGGGAGATCATCTCACCTCTCCTCGTAGGGTTGGACGGGCACTTCGGAGTGGCAGGGTGTGAAGACCTCTGATCTCAGTATGGCACACTGCTCGGCCGCCCACACCTTCCTGTGTGGGTGGAGCTTGCACGTGTTCTGTAGGCAGAGACTCAATATTAATATACAATCTAACATGCAACTGACGATCCCACAACACTGATCATAGGTGTGAGGAAAAGCACAGTGAAATGAGAAAGGAGTTAAAAGGTTTTCAGCTGGTCAAGCCTTGATCAGTACCTAGACTGATGACTTCCTCTCTCTGCTTCTCTTATCCAGTCTTGTTACTGATGAAGGCTTCACTGGCTGAAAACCTTTTAACTCCTTTCTCATTTCACTGTGTTTATTTCCACACAATCTTACTTATAATTATTTGTAGCCGAATGATTTTCAGCATGATCGGAAACATTAAACATTAACATTAAAAGTTTATTAATACAATCCTTAGAGAATCCAACTTCAAAAGTGTTAAAATTAAGAATTATTCAAACCATATTGGCATATTAATGGAAATCAAAGAGTTTTTGAATCATCTGTGACCTGTTCAGTGCTACATACAGCCACACTGATTTAGCCGCTCATTATGATCATGAGCATGAAAGGATAACTTGGTATCAGTTATAGGGTTTCAGTGCTTGCTGCCCTGCCATGGCACAGTGCACAGTGTCACACTCACAGTCACCTTCCAGCATTGTCACAGTAAACGGATTTCTGGTTTCCCCATCATTGTGACCATCTGTTTCACTTGTTTTCATACTCAGTTTTTTTTTACAAGGAATCAAGGAGAAACAGTTTGTCATTAGTGACAGTATAGAGTGATGTTAGTAACACTACAGAGATGTTAGCAACTGTATAGATGTGCTAGTAACATTATGGATATGCTAGTAACAGTATAGTGCTAGTAATTACCTAAGTGTAATTACCTAAGTGTAGTTACAGGATGAGAGCTACGCTCGTGGTGTCCCGTCTTCCCAGCACTCTTTGTCATATAACGCTTTGAAACTACTGACGGTCTTGGCCTCCACCACCTTCTCACTTAACTTGTTCCAACCGTCTACCACTCTATTTGCGAAGGTGAATTTTCTTATATTTCTTCGGCATCTGTGTTTAGCTAGTTTAAATCTATGGCCTCTTGTTCTTGAAGTTCCAGGTCTCAGGAAGTCTTCCCTGTCGATTTTATCAATTCCTGTTACTATTTTGTACGTAGTGATCATATCACCTCTTTTTCTTCTGTCTTCTAGTTTTGGCATATTTAATGCTTCTAACCTCTCCTCGTAGCTCTTGCCCTTCAGTTCTGGGAGCCACTTAGTAGCATGTCTTTGCACCTTTTCCAGTTTGTTGATGTGCTTCTTAAGATATGGGCACCACACAACAGCTGCATATTCTAGCTTTGGCCTAACAAAAGTCATGAACAATTTCTTTAGTATATCGCCATCCATGTATTTAAATGCAATTCTGAAGTTAGAAAGCATTGCATAGGCTCCTTGCACAATATTCTTAATGTGGTCCTCAGGTGATAGTTTTCTATCTAGAACCACTCCTAGATCTCTTTCTTTATCAGAATTCTTTAAAGATTTCTCACATAATATATAGGTTGTGTGGGGTCTATGTTCTCCTATTCCACATTCCATAACATGACATTTATTAACATTAAATTCCATTTGCCAAGTGGTGCTCCATATACTTATTTTGTCCAGGTCTTCTTGAAGGGCATGACAATCATCTAAATTTCTTATCCTTCCTATTATCTTAGCATCATCAGCAAACATGTTCATATAATTCTGTATACCAACTGGTAGATCATTTATGTACACAATAAACATCACTGGTGCAAGAACTGAACCCTGTGGTACTCCACTTGTGACATTTCTCCATTCCGATACATTGCCTCTGATTACTGCCCTCATTTTTCTATCAGTCAGAAAATTTTTCATCCATGATAGACGCTTACCTGTCACCCCTCCACTATTTTCCAGTTTCCAGAACAACCTCTTATGTGGAACTCTGTCGAAAGCCTTTTTTAGGTCCAGATAGATGCAGTCAACCCAGCCATCTCTTTCCTGTAATATCTCTGTGGCCCGATCATAGAAACTGAGTAAATTCGATACACAGGATCTTCCTGATCGAAAACCATACTGTCTGTCTGATATTATATCATTTCTCTCCAGGTGTTCTACCCATTTAGTTTTGATTAGCTTTTCCAATACTTTCACTATTACACTTGTCAATGATACAGGTCTATAATTGAGGGGGTCTTCCCTGCTGCCACTTTTGTAGATTGGAACTATGTTAGCCTGTTTCCACACGTCTGCTACGATTCCTGTACACAGGGATGCCTGAAAGATCAGGTGAAGTGGAATGCTGAGCTCAGATGCACATTCTCTCAGAACCCATGGTGAAACGCCATCTGGGCCAGCTGCTTTGTTCCTCCCGAGCTCCTTTAGCATATTTTCCACTTCATCTCTAGACACCTCTATCCGCTCTATGTTGTTCTCTGGAATTCTTATTGTGTCTGGTTCTCTGAAGATTTCATTTTGTACAAACACACTTTGGAACTTTTCATTTAATGTTTCACACATTTCCTTTTCATTTTCCGTGAATCTGTTTCCCATTTCCAACCTCTGGATATTATCCTTTACCTGCAATTTGTTGTTTATGAATTTGTAGAATAGGCCCGGTTCTGTTTTACATTTATCTGCTATCCCTTTTTCAAAATTTCTTTCTGCCTCTCTCCTTACTGCTGTATAATTGTTTCTCGCATCTTTGTATCGCTGGTATGTTTGGGGGTTTGGCCTCTTCCTATACTGATTCCATTTTTGTGTCTTTTGGTCTCTTGCCCTCTCACAATTTCTGTCGAACCAATCCTGTTTTCTGGTCCTGCATCTCTGTTTTGGTATAAATTTTTTTGTGCCTTTATCATATATTTCACAAAACTTGCCATACATCTCATTCACTTCCTTGCCTAGCATCAAGTCTGTCCAATTATACTCACTAAAAAAATTTCTAAGGTCACCATAATGTCCTCTCCTGAAGTCTGGTTTTTCAACTGCTTCAACCTCCTTATTTTCTTCCAGCTTATAACGCATTGCATACTTTATTCCCAAAAAGACATGGTCACTTTTACCCAAGGGAGGAAGGTACTGAATGTCAAATATCTCTTCCTCCTTCCTGGTAAATATCAAATCTAGCATGGAGGGAACGTCCCCTTCCCTCATCCTCGTAGCTTGTTTAACATGTTGATACAAGAATGTTTCCAGGATGAGGTCTACAAATTTACAGGTCCAAAAATCTTCTGTTTTAGCTTCATATGCTTCCCAGTCTATGGATTTCAAGTTGAAGTCACCGACTATCAACAGTCGTGATCTATCGTTATCCGCTCTCGCTATAATCTCTCTCATTATTGTTATAAGACCTTCACGTTTACTATCTAGCTCCTCCTTTGACCATGTGCTGCTTGGCGGTGGACTATATGCATTTATCATCATTAGTTTATCATCCTCATAGCAGATCTCTAGTGCTATTATGTCAACTTCTTGTGGATTGGCAGTCATTATTTCCTTCACCTTTAGGTGTTCTTTACCAGCACAGCAACGCCACCGCCTTTCCTAATTTTCTGTCCCGTCTCCAAATTGAGTAGCCCCTTGGGAATATGACCTCATTTAAAATTACATCTTCAAGTTTTGTCTCCGTGAGTGCAACAATGTCTGGTGTCTGCAGCTGTATTACATCACTTAACTCCAGTATCTTCGATCTCACTCCATCTATGTTGGTGTATGCAATCTTCAGGAACTTGTTCCCCCTCTCCTTATTCTTCACTCCCCCTCTCTCTATTGATTTTGTTGGTTGCCTTTATGTACCACTTTACTGGTTTGCCTACCCCTATCACTTTGTAGAAAAAAGAATTTATTTCTTCTTCATTCCTGCTCTCATTTAAATGTTTTGCCTCGGCGAGGTTCAGTTTCAGCTTCTCTCTATCTTCTTTTGAAAGATCTCGCTAGTAACAGTATAGATATGCTAGTAACTGTATAGATGTGTTAGTAACAGTATAGATGTGTTAGTAACAGTATAGATGTGTTAGTAACAGCAAAGATGTGTTACTAACAGTATAGATGTGTTAGTAACAGTATAGATGTATTAATAACAGTATAGATGTGTTACTAACAGTATAGATGTGTTACTAACAGTATAGATGTGTTAGTAACAGTATAGATGTATTAATAACAGTATAGATGTGTTACTAACAGTATAGATGTGTTACGAACAGTATAGATGTATTAATAACAGTATAGATGTGTTAGTAACAGTATAGATGTGTTAGGAACAGTATAGATGTATTAATAACAGTATAGATGTGCTAGTAACAGTATAGATGTGTTAGTAACAGTATAGATGTATTAATAACAGTATAGATGTGTTAGTAACAGTATAGAAATGCTAGTAACTGTATAGATGTGCTAGTAACAGTATAGATGTGTTAGGAACAGTATAGATGTGTTAAGAACAGTATAGATGTGTTAGGAACAGTATAGTGAGATTCAACTACTATTTGTCCATGACTATACAAAACAGGTTGATGATGTAGCAACTATTAAGATATAATACAAGACAAGATGAAGCAGGTGAGCACTCTGGACTGGCCTTGATGGCAACGCTGGCCGGGCAGTAGCTGTGCAGCCTCCAAGAGTCTCCGAAGATGTTCACCAACGCTTCACTGGAACCTCCCGGCGTTTGGAAGTCATCTCTCTCGTTTCCGTTGTAGTTACCACACAGCCCATGCACCTGCAGCAGGTACACATTAGTAATGACCAGGCTTAATGATTGACCCTACTCTCAACTTCCTGACTGGCCCTACTCTCAACTTCCTGACTGGCCTTACTCTCAACTTCCTGACTGGCCCTACTCTCAACTTCCTGACTGGCCTTACTCTCAACTTCCTGACTGACCATACTCTCAACTTCCTGACTGGCCCTACTCTCAACTCCCTGACTGGCCTTACTCTCAACTTCCTGACTGACCCTAATCTCAACTTCCTGACTGACCCTACTCTCAACTTCCTGACTGGCCCTACTCTCAACTTCCTGACTGACCCTACTCTCAATTTCCTGAGTGACCCTACTCTCAACTTCCTGACTGGCCCTACTCTCAACACAGGTTTAATAACTCCCCTTTTATCAACCACACATCATAGGCATTTAAACTAATCAAGCACTTCAACATTCACATTTAACATTAACATTTCATTTGATCTAAACTTCACATTTCCGACATTCAACATTACCCGCCTAGCATCCCTCACACTCATCACCTGCAAGTAATGCATCATATCCATGCCTCAATGTTTACATACTTCAATAACCCATTAATGTGGCAATTGTCCCTTCTGTTAGATAAATGATGATTTTACAGAACAATTAATAGACACATATAGTTATAATGAATCCATGATAGACAAAGAGGGGCCGGAATATTTATCCTTAAGGTTTTATTAAGAGTGACTAGTGGACACAATTATGAAGATTGGCCTCAACGAAAATACTCTGTTCTTATAAGCATGCAACACGACAGGTGTTGCCATAAGCATGCAACATGGCAGGTGTTGCCATAAGCATGCAACACAGCAGGTGTTGCCATAAGCATGCAACACGGCAGGTGTTGCCATAAGCATGCAACACGGCAGGTGTTGCCATAAGCATGCAACACGGCAGGTGTTGCCATAAGCATGCAACACGGCAGGTGTTGCCATAAGCATGCAACACGGCAGGTGTTGCCATAAGCATGCAACACGGCAGGTGTTGCCATAAGCATGCAACACAGCAGGTGTTGTCATAAGCATGCAACACGGCAGGTGTTGCCATAAGCATGCAACACGGCAGGTGTTGCCATAAGCATGCAACACGGCAGGTGTTGCCATAAGCATGCAACACGGCAGGTGTTGCCATAAGCATGCAACACAGCAGGTGTTGTCATAAGCATGCAACACGGCAGGTGTTGCCATAAGCATGCAACACGGCAGGTGTTGCCATAAGCATGCAACACGGCAGGTGTTGCCATAAGCATGCAACACGGCAAGTGTTGCCATAAGCATGCAACACGGCAGGTGTTGCCATAAGCATGCAACACGGCAGGTGTTGCCATAAGCATGCAACACAGCAAGTGTTGCCATAAGCATGCAACACAGCAAGTGTTGCCATAAGCATGCAGCACGGTGTGTTGCCATAAGCATGTAACACAGCAGGTGTTGCCATAAGCATGCAACATGCCAGGTGTTGCCATAAGCATGTAACACAGCAGGTGTTGCCATAAGCATACAACACAGCAGGTGTTGCCATGTTTGGCTTCATAAGAGTATGTGAGAGCAGCTTACCTTGCCTCGCCAGACAGGGTCGAGTCTGAGGTAGGCGCGGGTGCCACGGTCCCACTGTAGCACCAGGCCCATGTCCGGCACCTCCGCGAACACGAACACTCCAGCCTCACGGATGATGGTCCACGTCAGGTTCCTGCTAGTATAACAATATATGTATGTATGTATGTATGTAGCCTTTACCTGTAGCTTGCTTTTAATGACTATAGAAAGGCCTGGATCTGATTTACATTTGTCTGCTATACCATTTTCAAAGTTCCTCTCTGCCTCTCTCCTTACTGACATGTAGTTGTTTCTCGCATCTTTGTATGTGTGTGTGTGTGTGTGTGGGGTGTGTGTATATATATATATATGTATATATATAATATTTATTCTGGTAAAAGTTTGGATAATTTATACAAAGAATTTGAAGGATATCTTCCAATAATACTTTTCAGCAAATAGTAATAAAAACGAGCTTGATATCTTTCTGCTTAAGACTTATAAGTGTTCAAGCTTTTTAATCTTACCCCTCCTATTACTTCCAACCAGACGTGCATCTCTTTCCTTGAGAATGCATGAACATAAGAAATTGTAGAAGACCTATTTGCCCAGGGAAGGCAGTGGAGATGCCTTGCCTGGGCAAATAGGTCTTCTGAAGCAGACACACTCATGTCCACATGTAACCTATGCTTGAAACAAAGTAGTGATCCCAGGTGCACCATGTCAAGACGAGAGAGAGTGGCAGTGTTTCCACCACACGGCTGCTTTGCTCACCGCGGCCGCCCACAATTTGAAGCATAGGTTAACAACAACAAAAATGATTATGTAGTGCAGTTATTTTCTGGATATATCATTAACAAAGTTAGGAAAGGATACTTTAGACTGGAAGGCAAGGCGTGTGCGGACTGACCTGGGTGGGAGGGGTTTACTGCGGGAGAACTCCAGCTGCTCGTGCACGTCTCCCACGCCCAGTCTCAGGGTGAGGGACTTCGCGCATGTCACTCCGTCCGTGCCACACGCCACGTTCTGCACAAAACACACATCTTAATCATCACTTACAATCATCAATTTCACAAGTTGTGCTAAAAGACAGAAATGTAACAAAATATGTGGAATAATGCATCCATTTTAATCTCTAGACCACCAACTACCACAGTAACTTATGTAGATTTTGTATGGATAGAAAGTTTAGTAATAACACTTAAAATTTTACACACACACACAGGTCCTCACAGCCGATAGGACAGCATTTTGGGGTTGCAGTCCTAAGAGCCAGGGTTCGATTCCCGGAGGAGGCAGAAACAAATGGGCAGATATTCTTTCATCTATGCAATGTTCACCTATCAGTAAGTACCTTGGGAGTGAGACAGCTGCTACGGGCTGCACCCTGACGATGTGTGTGTGTGTGTGTGTGTGTGTGTGTGTGTGTGTGTGTGTGTGTGTGTGTGTGTGTGTGTGTGTGTGTGTGTGTGTGTGTGTGTGTGTGTGTGTGTGTGTGTGTGTGTGTGTGTGTGTGTGTGTGTGTGTGTGTGTGTGTGTGTGTGTGTGTGTGGTGTGTGTGTGTGTGTGTATGTGTGTAATTACATAAGTGTAATTACCTAAGTGTAGTTACAGGATGAGAGCTACGCTCGTGGTGTCCCGTCTTCCCAGCACTCTTTGTCATATAACACTTGCGTATATGTGTGTGTGTGTGTTTGTGTATGTGTGTCAAATATGTAGTACATATGATAGAAGAAAAATAGGTCAGGAGAAAGTTTATTAGATAGTCGGCGATTAGAAAGGCGGGGTCCAATAGCTAACAGCTTAATGCTACAGGAACAAATAGCAAATACAAGCACACACGCGTGTGTTTATGTCTCTTGTCTTTAGTCAGCATTGCTTAACATGGAAAATTTTACCTCGTCAGCAGCCTTGCCACATTGAACTGTGTCGACTGTTCCTGCCTACTGAATAACTTACCTCAAATTGTACAAGTTTGAGATAGCATCACAACTATGGCTGTAACACCTGTTCACTCTAGCCACAACTACAGCAGTACAACCATCTGTTCACTCCAGCCACAACTATGGCACTTCAACACCTGTTATAATCATACTGTCATACATTCATACAAGACCTGCTGTAGTCATACTACAAGACCTGTTGTAGTAATACTACAAGACCTGCCCTCAGTCATACTGCCCTAACTCCTTGCCATTCTAGAGAATATTTATTACTTTCATTTTTTCCCCATGGTAGGTTTGGAGAGAATGTACTTCCCTTCTTCAGTGTGGCGCCCAAGACTAAAGAGCATGATCTTGCCTCACACGAGCAGGATAAAGGTTGAATATAAGCATTGCCTCTCTTGAGAACGTCAGTTGGAGCACTGAAGTGACTGGAACCAGCGATCAGGGTGCCTCAACCGAGCACCTTACCTACACCAGAGTGCATGGCAGTTATATATAAAACCTGGACTGACATCAGTAGAAGCCTCCAGACTTCCTGCGGAATCAGCGGAATCCCAAGTTGTATATTTTATGCCATGACGTGGTGCAGGGGTAAGGAAAGCGGCTGTACTGTGCTGTGAACTGTGATCGTGGGTTCGAGTCACCTCAGTGCTCCAATTAATTTTCTCATTGATATACATGACATTGGTGTGATTTAGTGGTACTTGTTTACTAGTGCATCTTAGAATGCATCCTATAACCCTACTTGGTTTATTTCTAACATTTATAACAGTGATTTATCAGCTCACAATTCGTGCTAATAATGACCAAATCTATTCTCGTTTCCTACACTTAGAATCTAACATTTTTTCAGCATTACACTAAATCTGCAAATATTTTGTTAGTTTTAACACTGGACTGTGCCAACGGAGAAAACTCGGTCGTGGGAAACTGTGCCAACCGAGAAAACTCTTTTTTATTTTTTCGTACCCATTCAAAATGTGAGCAAGGTTGGTTGTGTACGAAAAGAACTCTTAGGACCTCCAGTGAGAGGCAGCCATTTTGGAAAAAATTCCCAGAATGCCCTATGGCTGCTGGCTGGGTTAGTACTGAGTAAGCAACCATAGGTGGAGCTTGCACCTCTGGCTCCCAAACACCTGTCCGATGTGGTGTTAAAAGATCGCGCTCTGTCGGTGAAATTCAAACCTTATTGTTTGAAGAACATAAGGGTCATGATATTGGTGAAGCTAGGCGCAATAAGAACCTAACACAACGGTCGGATGCAAGTGATACAGCACCTATGAGGACGATACAGCAAGAGTATCCAGTTGTAGCTCTGAGCGCCACCCTTGCCCATTTATGCCATCTCCAATTTATATAGATGATACATAGATGAATCATTTTCTGCATTCAGTGATGGCGCATCTGATACAAGTAGCATAGATGAACATTGTTAGCGGCTTCCATGGTGGTGTTTTCCATATATATTTTCAAGAATAGCTGAACCTCTTCCAGATTAACTGACACTCTTTGAAGCTGACTGAATCTCTTGCAGAATGCCTGAATGTCTTTTAGATTGACGGACACTCTTCGAGGGTGGCTGAATCTCTAATTGTGTGGGACCTTACAAAGCGATCTTTTCAAAACTACCTTACAAATTGATCTTTTCCTATAATCTTTTCAAAACTACCTTACAAATTGATCTTTTCCTATAATCTTTTCAATACTACCTTATGCTTTACAAGCTTGGCTACATACCACCTACAAGTACTAAAGCCAAGGGTGTACGTGAGTGCGTTATTTGCAAGCACACAGAACGAAGAAACAGTAAGCGAAAATCTATCTGTACGTGGTGCAACAAGAGAGAAGTCGTGCTGTGTACCATGGACTACTTCGTTGATTATTACTCACTTCCGAAGTACTGAGTGTGTAATACAGTGTGTTATTGTGTATATAGTGTGTGAAACTGTACATATCGTAATTTTAGTGAATTTTTAACAGGTAATATTGCGACAATATACATGTATTGTGGACACATTACTGACACATGTATCACAGTGCCATGGAACATTAGGAACGTTCTATTGTATACATATTGTAAGGGACACAAATATGCATCATATACGATAACAAACAAATAAAACCACATTGGAAATACATAGAACAAATAATTGAAAATATATTTATGGCAACACCCGGTGCTTGAATGGCCTGCGCGACCGTGTCTGGGCGATTCACCCACGGGCGACCAGGCCCTGATGACATCACAGCGCACCTTGTCCACGTCCCCACAGCCAAAGTGAGTGGAATTTGGTATTTATTTTTACATAGACATGTCCTCCTCACCATCTTCCATACGCATCATGAGTCCTCCATAAAGGTTAGATAAACATATGCACTATATTGTAGTTGGAAAAAAAACATTGTATTCAGTATAAAATGTATTTGTAAGTTAATATTTTGGAGGGTGGGGAATGGATTAATTCAATTCCCTTTATTTCTTATGGGAAAAATCGCTTCGACTTATGATATTTCGACTTACGATCCGTCTCTGGGAACAAATTACCGGGTGGAGCTTCGGGGGTAGAGCTCTGGGCAAAGAGTGCCAAAGGTAGAGCTCCAGGGATAGCACTCTGGGGGTAGAGCCCCAGGGGTAGAGTTCCTGGGGAAGATTCGGGGAAAAGAGCCCCGGGGTAGAGTTCCATAGTAGAACCCCGGGGGTAGAGCTCTGGGGGAAGAGCTCTGGGGAGTAGAGCTCCATGGCAAGCACCCCTGAGGTAAAGCCCAGGGTGTAGAGCTCCAGAGGTAGAGCCCAATAGCATTTCACTTGTACTGCTTTCCTACTCTGTGTTCACTCCATTTATGCTAACCTGCTACTTCCTTTGGCATAACTATGCCCAAATCCAGCTTTATAACAAGCTTGTTAAGCATGAGCGGCCATTCCACGAGTCCTTCATTTATTTGCATGTATCAAACTGTGTACGAATGACATTTACGATTATTGGCTGAAGCAATTTAAACACAGTAACGATCAGGCAAATTGGCCAATTCAAGGTCTCAATGAAACGCCAGAGATCTGCTACTATTAGCATGACGCCATCCTAAACATTCAATATTCTGTGTTACAATGTAGTTAAGGTAGCCTCTCTATAAAACGTGTCTAGTTCAGCTGCATCAAATTATCTACATATATGCATAAAATAGGTAAGTGACAGAGCCTCTATGTTGCTGATATGATAACTTTCTCCAATCACTATTCATTGATATATTATTGTTTAAGCTGTCACATACAAGGTGTTTACAGTCTCAGTGCTTTAAATGTTAGTTTATATTTAAGTGTATTAATACACTTAATACTAAAATAAAATATTTAAGTGTATTAATATTCAAGTTATAAATTTGCAATATACCAATATATAATTACTGAAGGCATCTCTCTCAGACAAGGAGGAAAGAACAAACAAGTCAATGTTTTTCATGACAAAAATAAGTGCTTACCACTGATCAACACACCAGTGTTTACGTTTGGCAGTCGTAATTAAGTCTTGATGCAGTCTTTTGTTTAGCATTGTAATAATATTTAACAATATTAAAATTCTTTCCATACACACCTGTACTGTGATGTCAAAATGTCCTTTATTAGTGTGACTGCCCTTGGCGAGGATGTAGTCACAAGCCCCTTGGAACTCGTAGAGGCGGCCATCAAACGTCTTGTAGTGGGAGTCCCCCCAGGCGGTACAGATGCCAGGACACTGTGCAGCAGTGCACACCCAGTGGCCGCCTGTGCATACACTGTGACGGAAACAGGTAACACATAATGAAACATCTCATAAACTGTAGGAAATTAGCCAGACTGTACTCCAGTATGTTCTTGTAGCATATCTGGAAAAGCGTGTGTGTTTACCCTTTTCCCTACAGCTTGTATCTACACTGGTAGTTGATTGGACAGCTTTTTATGAGCACATGGAACAAGAGTGTATTCAACAATAAATAAAACTATTTTCTTTTTTACTTTTGACAGAGTACAAATTGGAAATCATCACATACTTTGCACAAGTCTTCATTTACAAAAGAAAACATGAAAAAACCAGCGTTGAATGTAATGAAACGTCATTTTCTGGGTAAGTCCTAGAGGCTCCCTGGAGCTATCCAGGCTGATATGGATATCCCTAACTTTGGCATCAGTCAATTTGGGGGGAGTTCTAGGCCTACCGGGGACCATGAGCCAGAACCTGGCCCCCTCAGAGAGTCATGGAGAGCAATGACCCATAGAATGCACATGTGATTTTGGAGCATTCTATATCTGCCATCGACCGGGACAGGCACCCAGAAAGGTAAGCGCCACAAAACAAACCCCTATTCTGGTTGTAATGTCGAGACAGAGTACAGAGATAAGATGTAACGAGAAAAGAATGAGATAATATCGAAAGACGATAAGTAGGACGGAAGAGGACCAACGATCCCGAGAAAAGACTGGAGTAAGCTTCATCAGCAGATGACAGACGTTCCAACAATATTGGAAGAAACGAAGATCTTCCCGAACCTTTGAGACTCTTGAGAAGCATGCACAAAAGCACGGAGGCTCACTCAGGCCCAGTGGCATTCGCGACCAACGGTCATTCAGGATCCCGAGACGATGAGAATATGATGACATGACGTAGAAGAATACATGTCCCAGAAAAGAAGGGTGAGAAGTGGTAAAATCACCCACAGGAAGGATGGAACCAATGGACCCAAGGGACACACAACCGAACCCAGGGAGGGGCTGATGCCCTACGAACTCGTACACAGAGGGGGGAAAGGAAAATCCCCACTCCTTGTAACCGAAAGTCCCACCCAGAGGGTTGGAAAACCCAGGTGGGGTCCAATGGGACCCAAGGCCCTCAAGCCAGCCCCTATCTAACCCCGGGAACCTCCACGTCAGGTCCCAGGGGCAAGTCGTCCTCTCAAGCCCTGGCCACACAAGAAAAAGCCGGGGCGGCCGAATTAGCAGGAAGAGAATGGGCCCACTGGTCATATCCCGGAGCTATGGCTGGAAGAACGGACTTGAATGCCTCCGTATCCAGCCCTGGAAAAAGCAGCCCCCGAAACTGCTCAGAAACCTCAAAACCCTGCCCCGAGCTTGAAGCCTTCAAACGCTTAGGAGCCGGAAGCAGGGGGGAAGGGGACCTTATGAACCACAGCAGGGAAAGAACAAGGGGGCGCAGATGGAACCAAGGCTGAAGTGACTAACACCCAAGTCCAGGGTCCCTATAAACAAAACAGGGTATCCAGGTAAGCAACCTAACAAGTACGCTGCAACAACCTATCTTGCAACGCCCGAGCCGCCTGCACCAGAATAATATCATCAGAATGGGTGAACTGAGTCATATACAAGCAACAAAGCTCGCAGGACTCTAGGTCGAATGTGTCACCGACCCAACAGACAGCATGACGGAGGCAAAAACAATGAGCGTTGCCCTGAGACAAGGGGAGAGAGCAACCCTCAAACTAACACACGGCGAGAGGGGACTCAGGGATCACATCCAATGGTCCCGAATGCCTCATGGGGTTTCCCAGGGCCCCTAGACTGGGTCTGCTAAGGGTTTACCCAGGCAGGGTACTGCTAACCGGCACCCCAAGCTACCAATCAACACTGCTAATGCTGAACCCCTGGGACATGTCCACTCATGAGGGCGAAGCAGGGGGTACCACCAAACAAACAACCCTAGTATAAGGGGGAAGGAACACCAAGGCAGACCCCCCCACCAGGCAAAAAGAAAAAGAAAAGAAAAACCTTGCAAGAGGACAGCATACCCAGAGGGAACAGAGCCAGCCGCTGTCAGAGGTGAAAACTAGCTGCGCAGTACCCCCCCTCGCCTCTACCAGTGCAAAAACTACCACTTACCCCTGTTATGACCATGCATACACCAGAATGATCATACTGAGATTGGTGTATGAGTGTGCTCAAACTATACAGTGATATCTTGGCTGATAGCCTCATATCACGAATATTGTGTTATGATGCAATCTCATGTTACCATACATTATTCTTATTTTATGTATTGTCAATGTGTGACATACATTTCCAAGTCTATATTAATTCTGTATCAAAGTTGTATGCCATGTAATTGTGGATATATATATATATACAGTATTAGATATCTAATTATAGCAGTAGCCTAATGTCATGGAGTTTGAAAAACATCTTGTATGCTCATTGTATGTAATGCTACACAAATGCTTTATAGGTAACATTATGTGGACCATGTTGGAGAATGTATACATTTAGTTTCCAGATATATTATTCATACGTATACTGATTAGTTTCCATTTTAGTGTTGTACCTTGCATTGTCCCATTGTCAGGACATTATATGAAATTATGGCACTGTGAAACGTTTTCCACTTAAACAATCTTTTGATACACATGTTGTATATATCTAATATATTTTATATATTGTATGCATATGTACAACCGTTGGTGATGTCACTGAATCATCCCTAACCCCCCCCCCTCCCTTCTCCCCTACTGATGTACCGACTTTGCCAGTGTTGCCATCTCGTATCCATGCGAATTCTAAAAAAATTTGCATTTCGTGATAATTTCTTTAATGTATTGAATTATTATTATATATCATTATGTAAGGTTGTGCCTTATACTCTTAAGTTGTTGTATATTAACTTAGAAGTTCCTGAGTAAGTTTATGTTGTAAATGAGATAGAGATACTGTATTTGAAAGCCGAAGATCAGTTGACTTATTGAAATTGGTTACAGTGTCGCCTCTCGACAAGCTTGCCTCAAGATGCCACTACTCTCTGATCTCTTCAGGCGAGCGGACCTGTTAGCGTTTGGTCCATGATTTGTGACCTTATTTGGGTAATGAGCCTGCTAGATTTATACACATGTAACAGTACAGTGTATGTATTTATATGGATCATTTCTGCTGCAGGCGATGAGTCACAATAACGTGGCTAAAGTATGTTGACCAGACCACACACTAGAAGGTGAAGGGACGACGACGTTTCGGTCCGTCCTGGACCATTCTCAATCGACTTGAGAATGGTCCAGGACGGACCGAAATGTCGTCGTCCCTTCACTTTCTAGTGTGTCGTCTGATTATTTCTGCTGTTGTTCATTATGTATACCAGGTGGTAGAGGTTTTTATATGTCTTTGTGTGAGGTAATCTTCTGAGGACCTTAAGGCCATGGTGCTCTATGTGATTTTGTTACCTCATTCCTCATGTGTTACTGGTAGTAACACCACCACCCTGTGTTGTTATTTGGGGGGGAAGAGGGTGAATTTGAGGGCCATAATTACAGAATAATGGTCAACCTTGGCAAGAACCATTTGCATCAGTGTCACAGCTTTTCAAGACCATAATACCAACAACTTGACTATGAGGTAAAATTTAGACAAATATACCTTTCTTTGCTTATACAGTGGCACCTCGAATAATGAGTTTAATCCATTCCGGCACCGAGCTCGTCATGTGGAAAACACGTCTTGCGAAACAACAACAAAATTGTCGTAAAACGTGTCCGAGAACCAGCGGAAACGCTCGTTAATCGAGGAAAAGCTCGTTAGTAGAGACAAATGTTCTGCGAGTGGCTTGCTCGTTACTCAAAATGCTCATAGATAGAGCCGCTCGTTAATCGAGGTGACACTGTACTGACAAGTATATTGTCAAGTAAAAATTGGCCTTATTCATTTCTGCTTAATAATAGCATTACTACTGTCAAAATATATATTCAAGAAAGGTAAAGAAGAACACATATGATCATGTACACTCAGAACTCTCTTCGGGTGTAGGTACACTGCGAGTTTACTCCTGAACATTTATCAGGATTAAAGCATTCTTGTTTGCTTGTCAGTAAGCTATTGTGGTGGTTTAATATTCCTCTAGAGGTTAATAGGTCTTAAGCCTCCATAACCCCAGGGAAGTTAAGAGAGCCTTACCAGGTGTTGCAAAGGGAAGTTAAGAGCCTTACCAGGTGTTGCAGAGGGAAGTTAAGAGCCTTACCAGGTGTTGCAAAGGGAAGTTAAGAGCCTTACCAGGTGTTGCAAAGGGAAGTTAAGAGCCTTACCAGGTGTTGCAAAAGGAAGTTAGGAGACTTACCAGGTGTTGCAAACAGAAGCAAAGAGAGACTTACCAGGTGTTGCAAACAGAAGCAAAGAGAGACTTACCAGGTGTTGCAAACAAAAGCAAAGAGAGACTTACCAGGTGTTGCAGTCTTGAGAGATGGAGGAATTATCTTGATAAGAGCGGCCACCGTGGTGACAAGGGCAGTCGCTGCGGAGGATGCAAGTGTCAGTCTCGGGGTCCCTGACGTAACCAGTGGCACAGGCACACCCGGGGCGGCACTTATCTTCCCAGGTCATAACACTCGAGTGCATCGTCTGTAACATCAACACATCTTACATGTCTATGACTCACGCTGTATCTTGACGACTTGACACTAGTAGGTAACACACCACCACATCACAGCACAACTCTACCTCACTGCTTATGAAACTAAATGAAATAGAGAAATATAAACACAAATAGAGAGAAAGATCTGGGGAGTTGAAATCACACCTAACCTGTCCCAGAAGCCCACATCAAAAGGACATCATCAGCGGCATATGCTAGATTGGCCAACATAAGAACTGCCTTTAGATTTTAGAAACTTGTGTAAGGAATCGTTTAAGACCTTGTAAACTACTTATGTCAGACCAATCCTGGAGTAATCCACCTCCAGCCTGGAGTCCATACCAAGTTAAACACAAGACAAAGTTAAAGATTCAGACTAATTTGCCACCAAACTAGTCCCGGAACTGAGAGGTATGAGCAACGAGGAAAGGCTATGGGAGCTAAACCTCAGATCCCTGGAAGACAGAGGAGTAAAGAAGACATGATAACCTACAAACTTCTCAAGGGAATTCGCAGGGTGGACAAAGACAAACTATTTAGCATGGGTGGAACACAAAAAATTGGAAACAGGTAGAAACTTCGTACCCAAATAAGCCACAAAGATATTAGAAAGAATTTTTTCAGTGTCAAGAGTAGTTATCAAATGGAATGCATTAAGCAGTGATGTGGTGTAGGCAAACTCCATACACAGTTTCATATGTAGATTTGATAAGAGCCCAGTAGGCTCAAGAATCTGTACACCAGATGATTGACAGTTGAGAGGCAGGACCAACAACCAAAACTCAACTCCCGCAAGTTCAACTAGGTGAGTACTAGGATCTTCAAATACTAGGTGAGTACACACACACACACACACACAGGGAATTCGCATTATCAGTCAGAAAAATGTTCTGACTGATAGAAAAATGAGGGCTGTGATCAGAGGCAATGTATCAGACTGGAGAAATGTCACAAGTGGAGTACCACAGGGTTCAGTTCTTGCACCAGTGATGCTTATTGTCTACATAAATGATCTACCAGTTGGTATACAGAATTATATGAACATGTTTGCTGATGATGCTAAGATAATAGGAAGGATAAGAAACTTAGATGATTGTCATGCCCTTCAAGAAGACCTGGACAAGATAAGTATATGGAGCACCACTTGGCAAATGGAATTTAATGTTTATAAATGCCATGTTATGGAATGTGGAATAGGAGAACATAGACCCCACACAACCTATATATTATGTGAGAAATCTTTAAAGAATTCTGATAAAGAAAGAGATCTAGGGGTGGTTCTAGATAGACAACTATCACCTGAGGACCACATAAAGAATATTGTGCGAGGAGCCTATGCCACGCTTTCTAACTTCAGAATTGCTTTTAAATACATGGTTGGCGATATACTAAAGAAATTATTCACGACTATTGTTAGGCCAAAGCTAGAATATGCAGCAGTTGTGTGTGTGCCCATATCTTAAGAAGCACATCAACAAACTGGAAAAGGTGCAAAGACATGCTACTAAGTGAGGTTAGAGGCATTAAATATGCCAAAACTAGAAGACAGAAGAAAAAGAGGTGGTATGATCACTACATACAAAATACTAACAGGAATTGATAAAATTGATAGGGAAGATTTCCTGAGACCTGGAACATTAAGAACAAGAGGTCATAGATATAAACTAGCTAAACACAGATTCCGAAGAAATATAAGAAAATTCACTTTCGCAAACAGAGTGGTAGACGGTTGGAACAAGTTAGGTGAGAAGGTGGTGGAGGCCAAGACCGTCAGTAGTTTCAAAGCATTATATGACAAAGAGTGCTGGGAAGACGGGACACCACGAGCGTAGCTCTCATCCTGTAACTACACTTAGGTAATTACACTTAGGTAATTACACTAGCTTATGAACTGAAGGCAGCTGGCACAGTGAGGTCCGGGGGCCCCCTCCCCCTCTCAGGGAGGGGAGGGCTGCACGGACAAGATGCGCGGCAGTAAAATGTGATAGAGGTAATTGCTTGTTTTCTTGTTTCCTTGGGATTGTAGGGAATTTCTACCTCTGTTTTTGTATTGTTTTAGTTTCTTTCCATGTGGGGTTTGTTTTGTTATGCCTACCTTTCATTGGCAGATTAAACATTGGCAGATTAAAAACCACATAGCAACAACTGAAGAAGAGGTTAAAGATACAGAACCTGTTTCACCTACAAAGCTACATTAGTAGATTAATGCAAAACTGAAGATACCATTAACTCTTCAAGTCTTTGATAGGAAAAATAATTACAAAAAGTACACATTATGTATTACCTGGCAGGTAATCTCGTCTTCTGGAAGGCAGTCACTGTAGACTTCATGTTGATCATCACTGCACACAATATGAGGACTATCTGTTACCGTCTCATTACCACTCACTCCCTGGCATGTCCAGCCCGCATTGAGGCACTCACTGAAAATATACACTTCATCAAACACAAGCACATAATGAAATATTAAATTAAAAATTGTAAAACACAATCTGAATAATACTTTTATCACTGTAAGCTTCCAATAGTGATCTGTAAACACACGGGCATGAAACTAACCAACTTAGAGAAGACCCATCCGTCTGTGGCTGCTGCATCTTATGGCCGGGTTTGTATTCATCTCCCTCATACACACAGGGGCACTCGCTTACAGGAACACAAATGTCATCATTATCCAGGGTGTATCCGGGCGGGCAGTTGCAGCCTTCTACACATTTCTTATCACAGTCAGTGTTGGTGGTCAGATCCAGGCAGGTGTGAGAACAGCTGTCGCCACACACTTGGTACACCTGGCCACGAGTGCACAGGATAGCTGTAGACCACATATAAAATATGAGTATGGTCTGGGAGTGAGGAGGAAGAATAAGCTAGGGCATCATCATTTTGACATAGTCCTGGAGGTAACAGATAGAGAGTGTGAGAGAGTAATTACCTAAGTGTAATTACCTAAGTGTAGTTACAGGATGAGAGCTACGCTCGTGGTGTCCCGTCTTCCCAGCACTCTTTGTCATATAACGCTTTGAAACTACTGACGGTCTTGGCCTCCACCACCTTCTCACTTAACTTGTTCCAACCGTCTACCACTCTATTTGCGAAGGTGAATTTTCTTATATTTCTTCGGCATCTGTGTTTAGCTAGTTTAAATCTATGACCTCTTGTTCTTGAAATTCCAGGTCTCAGGAAGTCTTCCCTGTCGATTTTATCAATTCCTGTTACTATTTTGTATGTAGTGATCATATCACCTCTTTTTCTTCTGTCTTCTAGTTTTGGCATATTTAATGCTTCTAACCTCTCCTCGTAGCTCTTGCCCTTCAGTTCTGGGAGCCACTTAGTAGCATGTCTTTGCACCTTTTCCAGTTTGTTGATGTGCTTCTTAAGATATGGGCACCACACAACAGCTGCATATTCTAGCTTTGGCCTAACAAAAGTCATGAACAATTTCTTTAGTATATCGCCATCCATGTATTTAAATGCAATTCTGAAGTTAGAAAGCATAGCATAGGCTCCTTGCACAATATTCTTTATGTGGTCCTCAGGTGATAGTTTTCTATCTAGAACCACTCCTAGATCTCTTTCTTTATCAGAATTCTTTAAAGATTTCTCACATAATATATAGGTTGTGTGGGGTCTATGTTCTCCTATTCCACATTCCATAACATGACATTTATTAACATTAAATTCCATTTGCCAAGTGGTGCTCCATATACTTATTTTGTCCAGGTCTTTTTGAAGGGCATGACAGTCATCTAAATTTCTTATCCTTCCTATTATCTTAGCATCATCAGCAAACATGTTCATATAATTCTGTATACCAACTGGTAGATCATTTATGTACACAATAAACATCACTGGTGCAAGAACTGAACCCTGTGGTACTCCACTTGTGACATTTCTCCATTCCGATACATTGCCTCTGATTACTGCCCTCATTTTTCTATCAGTCAGAAAATTTTTCATCCATGTTAGAAGCTTACCTGTCACCCCTCCAATATTTTCCAGTTTCCAGAACAACCTCTTATGTGGAACTCTGTCGAAAGCCTTTTTTAGGTCCAGATAGATGCAGTCAACCCAACCATCTCTTTCCTGTAATATCTCTGTGGCTCGATCATAGAAACTGAGTAAATTCGATACACAGGATCTTCCAGATCGAAAACCATACTGTCTGTCTGATATTATATCATTTCTCTCTAGGTGTTCTACCCATTTAGTTTTGATTAGTTTTTCCAATACTTTCACTATTACACTTGTCAATGATACAGGTCTATAATTGAGGGGGTCTTCCCTGCTGCCACTTTTGTAGATTGGAACTATGTTAGCCTGTTTCCACCCGTCTGCTACGATTCCTGTACACAGGGATGCCTGAAAGATCAGGTGAAGTGGAATGCTGAGCTCAGATGCACATTCTCTCAGAACCCATGGTGAAACGCCATCTGGGCCAGCTGCTTTGTTCTTACTGAGCTCCTTGAGCATTTTTTCCACTTCGTCTCTAGACACCTCTATGTGTTCTATGTTGTTCTCTGGAATTCTTATTGTATCTGGTTCCCTAAAGATTTCATTTTGTACAAACACACTTTGGAACTTTTCGTTTAGTGTTTCACACATTTCCTTTTCATCTTCCGTGAATCTATTTCCCATTTTCAACCTCTGAATATTATCCTTTACCTGCAATTTGTTGTTTATGAATTTATAGAATAGACCTGGTTCTGTTTTACATTTGTCCGCAATCCCTTTTTCAAAATTTCTTTCTGCCTCTCTCCTCACTGCCGTGTAGTTGTTTCTCGCATCTTTGTATCGCTGGTATGTTTGGGGGTTCGGCCTCTTCCTGTATTGATTCCATTTTTGTGTCTTTCGGTCTCTAGCCCTCTCGCAATTTCTATTGAACCAATCCTGTTTCCTAGTTCTGCATCTCTGTTTTGGTATAAATTTTTTTGTGCCTTTATCATATATTTCACAAAACT